TTTTTTTTTTTTTTTCAAGCAGGCTTCATGCCCAGCGTGGAGCCCGATGTGGGGCTTGAACTCAGAACCCTGAGATCAAGACCTGAGCTGAAATCAAGAGTCAGATGCGTAACTGAGTGAGCCACCTAGGCACCCGTGAAATGACTTTTCCCGTGTCCGGAAAGCTGCGTCTGTCTGTCTTTCCAGGCCCCTCGACCCTCTCTGCCCACAGGGCCAGGCTGTGTCTTGAAATGGTGGCGTGGGAGTCACTGCAGAGAACAGCCTGGAGAGAACGTAGGGAGGGTGGTCAGGAGGCCCGGGTCTGGGGGACACGCCGACACTGGTCCCGGGACACAGGGGCTCTGCTCGCAGAGGGCCGTGGGCTGAAGACACCAAGCCCTTGACCCAAAGCACCAGGCCAGCGGGTCCCAAAGGATGTCCCCGGGCCAGGGCGTTTAAGAGCTTCAGCAGGTGCCCGGGACCAGCATCGCACCCCAGGTGAGGCGTCCAGGACGTGTCACCGAGGCAGGCAGAATGCCGTCACTGGGTGTGTGAAGAGCAGAGTCCTTTTTCCGTCATTTTCTCAAGCGTGATGGGTTTTGGGGTCAAGGCAGCTCCTAGGCCTGAGGTCCTGCAGGACCCGTGGACTCGGCCTCCGTGAACAGATGGAGCCTCCCCCGACACCGCCCCACCGTGCGCCTCCATCCCGGTCAGGTGCCCCCACCCAGCTTTCCTTGTGGTGGTTTCCTGCCAGGGATGGCCGGAGCGGGGGCACCCCCAGCCCTCCTCCAGGTCCCTGCTTTTGTTTGTGAACCCCAGCCCTTGTCCTGGTTTGCTTTCCTGCCTGAGCCCTCAGGGTGTGAGCTGTAGGCTTCTTGGCCCAGAACTAGCACGGGTCTAACTGGTCTAACCAGTGGGGCCGGTGTGGGCACAGCAGGTGCCTCACATGCGCCTTCAGGGGTCCTGTTGGCAGCTGGCAGGTGCCTGGAGGTGTGAATTCCACCCAGACCCCTTGTGAATTCCTTCTTGAGGCCCCCTGGCCCCCCAAGCAGGAACTGGGGGGCTTTTCCTCCAGTTTGGATGAGACTTTTAACTTCCTACACGTTCCCTCACCCAAATGGAGCCCCGCCACACCACATCGCTGACCCCACCCACAAATGGAGCCACACAGGTCAGAGCCGCCAGGACCCTGTAAAGCGGCTCCGTCTGTTTCCCAGAGCAGAGCCGGCGGGAGACAGCTGTTCTGTTGGCTACATTTTATCCTCCTTCTCTCCACACACCCCGGTGCCTGAGCATCAGGCACCTGCAGCTGTCGGGATGCCCGTGACCACCGCAGTGGCAGCGGCGGAGGGGCGGTGCGCAGATGGGGTGCAGGCCTGCCCTAACCAGCCACAGCAGGAGCCCACGGGTCTCAGCGCCAGCTCTGAAGACTCGGGGGGGGGCGGGGGGAGAGTGGGAAAGGTCACCACAAGCCGGCAGAAGACCCTTGCACACGGAGCTGGAAAATCTGCAAAGCGGTGCCCAGGGGTGACTTAGAAAACACACCCCAAATTGAGAGCCTGGCCTCAGCCCCTCCCCTCCCCTCCCCCAAACAAGCGCTTCACGTGACAGGCGGCTGTGGGCAGGGAGACGTGGGCCAGCCTCTGGGCTCGGGCGGCGGGACCACGTGCCTGCTGGCATCTCTTCTGAGACACGGCAAAACACCTTTAAACTCTCGGCCGGCCCTTTTCTCTCCTTCCTTGGGAGGCTGCTGCCCTCCCGAGTCCCTCTTCCGGCTCTGCACCCAGGCCCACTGTGAGCCCCTTCCCTCACCGGCCCCCGCCTCCTAGCGGCCGCCTCTCACCGTTGTGCCGCCCGGGCCCCCTGTACCTCTGGGGCTTTGTACTCATTCTGTGTCTCGGGGCCTCAGGGACCAAGCCGGGAGGGAGGACAGAGGCCGTGGGGACACGTCTGGAGAGCCTTTCCCGGGAAGTGCCGATAACCCAGCCCGCGCCCAGGCCCCCACTGTGAAAGCTGAACTTTGACGTCATATCCCAGGTTTGGGAGGGACTGTCCCAGCCTGTCAGCTGGAGCGGGTGGTGGGCACAGGGCGTCTCTGACCCAGGTCACTTGTTTGGACAACTGTTCTGGTGTCTGTAGTGCAGGAAGGAGGCCTGGGGGGCCAGGGACATTCTTGTCCCCACTTTGTGGAGGGGACTTCCCGGGTAGTAAGTGTGGAGCAGGACTCCAGCCGTGCCTCCTGCTGTTGAGCCCGGGCCCATACCGTCTGTGCGGTTGGTTGATGGGCCTGCTTCCCGTACTTGGTGCTGGGGCACCGAGGAAACGCAGCCGCAGGCCCACAGGGTGGTGGCGGGTGGGCGGCCCAGGGCAGCGCCCCTGCTCCGTGGGCTGGATGAGGGTGTGCGTTCACCCCCTAAGTTGGCTCAGGGTGAGAGTGCACGTCCTCCGGGGCGGAGTTCTTGGGCCCCCTGGGGGGTCTGGGGGTCCCTGCCTCTACGCCTCTGTCTGAGAAGCTCCTGGTTCACACCCACCATCGCCACCAGGATGCCACCCACCCAGGTATGACATTCGGGCCTTAAAGTTGGGTCCCCAGCTTCTCCTTCCAAAGGGGCAGAGAAAGAACTCCTCTCCAGCTCCCCGTTCGTGCCAGGCGCTGAGAAGTGCTTTACTTGTGGGGTCCCCATCAGAGCTGATGAGCACAGGGCCGAGGGCCTCTGTGGTCTGGGGCTGGGGACCCCGGGTGCGGTCGGGACGGCTTCCTCAGGGCACAAGATGCCAGCCTTGTCCCACCCCCCGCGGCCCAGCTCCCACCAGAGTTGCCTGGCTCCCACCAGTGTCTCGAGACTCCCACCAGGGTCTCGCGGCTCCCACCAGGGTCTCGAGGCTCCCACCAGGGTCGCAGGAGGCCAGCCTGCTCACCAGGTGTGCTCTCCCTGCAGGTGATGGAGAAAATGTAGCAGATCCACGGTGAGGCGCTACCTGCCCAAGCGTGGTGCGGACAGACCAGCCTAGACGAGCGGCCCTCCCCGGGCCCCCCGTGGGCCACCCTCACCATGTCCAAGAAGGGCACGGGCGGCCGAGGCAAGGGGGACAAGGCGGAGGCCTTCGCTGCACTGCAGGCTGCCAATGAGGAGCTTCGGGCCAAGCTCACCGACATCCAGATTGAGCTGCAGCAGGAGAAGAGCAAGGTGGGCCCTCCACGCCCTGCCCCTCTCACTTCTCCACACCCTCCTGGGCCCTGGGGTCTGCCCGGAGCCGGGCACGGTGGGGTCTCTGCCCAAGTGCCCGCCAGCTCTCTCCAGGCAGCTGGGGTGCACAGACAGCTCTGGAGAAGAGCGGGGCAGGGGGCGGGCTGGGGTGAGTGAGGGGACCATGCCGGGTCGGTGCCGGGGCCTCCAGAGGGACCTCAGCCTGTGCCACCATCCTGGGAAGTGTCCCTTCCCCCTGAAGTGGTCACCGTGGAACTGAGCCCACATATAGCAGGCCTGGCATGTGGATGAAGGAGACAGGCCGGGCTTGCTGTTTCCATGTGTGGTCGGAAACGCGGAGGCGGGCCCGCAGGGTTGGTGGGGCCCAGAGACCACAGTGGGAGGCGCGAGATGGCCCCACCGGACATCAGCACTTGGGGTCCTTGAGGCCCATAGGGAAGGCTGGGGCCGGGGCCTCTGGGAGGAGTGTGGGGGGCTGGTCACAGGGGGGCAGCTCAGTGCCGGGCCACGCCTGGGTGGTGGGCATCCCACCGGCCCACCGCCCCCCTCTCTGCCATAAGTCTGCCCTCTGCCCTCTCCCCATCTGGGGAGGTTGAGAAGAAAGGATTTGGAGAGAGGCGGGTCTGGAGGGGGACGGTTCTTGCGGGAGGCGGGTGGGGGAGGGGATCAGGTGGTTGGGCCCAGTTGCCTAACGCCTGGGTTACCCGCGCGGGTTAAATCATGAATGCTGTACTATTCTGTGCCATGTGGTAATGACACGAAATTAGATTCAGTGTCTAACAGACTGGTATTAGGACTCGGCCACGCTGCCCATCTACGTGCCGTCTGCCGGTTCAGCCACGAAGCCTGCGTGACTTCCCGCCAGACTCTTTACAGGAAGAGTGTGTGGCCCACGCCGGGCGCTTACCCTCTGCCTCAGGTCCCTGCTCCGCACCAAGGGGACAGTAGCAGCACCTTCGGTGCCAGGGAGGGACAGCTCGAGGGGCCCAGGATGAGCTTGCCGCTCCGATGCCATTGGCTGCGGTCACAGCGACCACGTGGCCGCTCCCGTGGCGAGACGTCCTCTGTGGGCCCACAGGAGAGCCGGAGCCCGCGGGGGAGCCCGGCGGCATCGACGTCAGCACGGCTCGGGGTCAGGCAGTCGCCAGGTCAGCAGGGGCGGCACCGAGAGGCGCGGGCGCACGGCGTGGGTGGAGTCAGGGCCAAGGTGCAGACGTCTGGAGGCCCAGGACCCTGCCTCAGACACCGCTCACGGGTTGTCCGATGGGACGCGGACAGCAAGGCCCTCGTCTCACTGGGTGAAAGTGCTCCTCGTCCAATGCGCAGAAGCACCACGCGGAAATCGCCGAGCGGTACTTGCCTCGTGTGCCGACTCTGTGCCCGTTGCCACGGCATTGTCTTCCTGTGTGGTTTTACCAAAACCCACCCATCCCCACAGCCCAGGGGAGCGGGAGGGGGCCACCTCCTCGCTTGTCAGCACCCCAGGCCGGCAGGGTCAGAGATCACGCCCTCTCGCTGCCGGGCAAGGGCCCTGGGGCTGGGGCCCTGCCACCGTTTATGTTGGTACAAGATTCGGAAGGAACAGACGAAACGGCCCCGGTGCCCGCTCCGGAGGCCTCGTGTTACGGGCTCCTCGCCGCACGTCCGGGGCCCCTTCCTAACGCAGAGATGACGGCAGAGTGCCGCCCCCGGGTCCTCTCTCTTCACCGCACACAGGCTCCTGGGGGTCCCGCGTGCGGCTCCGGAGCGGCTCCAGCACCCCTTCGCGATCCGGTGCCCGATGTTTGGCCCACACATCCTGGCTGCTTCTGATTTTCGGCTGACGGGGCACCGTGCAGGGAGCACCCTGTGTGCACGTGTGAGGGTGCTTGCAGAATAAGCTCTCGCAGGTGGGTTTGCTGGGTCCGGCCACGTGCACGTTTCCAGGGATCGCACGGGCGCCCACACCTGCCCCGCCCCACGCAGGTCCGGTGGGTGACACATTCCTCACGCCTCTTTCCAGTTCCCGCCTGCGCTCCCCCGTCCCCCCAGCAGCCAGTTCAGTAACTCAGGATCCCTTCGGATCCTGAGAAGGTGCCTCCGGCCGGTCTGTCCGCTCAGCCCATCGAGAGGAGCCTCGCTGCAAAAACGCTACATGTGGGCCGCGAACCACGCACCTCGGTCGTCGTGAAGCGGGGGGTGGAAAACACAGTCCGGTGATCACAACCGTCAATAGCCTCATCCTCATCAATCCTGAAATCTTTACACGTGCCACAGTCAGTGTCCCTGGTGCACCCACGGGACAGGTTTGCATAACCAGACCCAGAAGGCGGGACTGGCACCTTCTGTCTGGTCTTCGGCATGTTCCAGATGTTCTGGAAGCACCCAGGGAGGAGGGCTTGATTCTGGCCTCACGGTGGAAGTCCGGGGACGGCCACAGGACCCTGTCCTCTTCCACAAGCCTGCCTGGACGGCAGGAGTCTCACAGAGGCCTTGGAGGCACTGACCCCACCTGCGCACAGCGCCCACCCCTCGCCAGGAGTTCCCAGCGCAGCAAAATTCTGGAGGAGAAACATCTCGTTTTGCAGATTGCAGCTGTCACGGTGGACAAAGTCGCTGGAAGCCTGGAAAGATGCCAGTAAATGTCGCCGCCAGAGCAGAGCACTCTGGGTCTCGGGCCAGCGGTTAATTTGTCACCGAAGGCTGCTTGTGTGAACGGAGACTTGACAGTAAAGAATAAAATGACTCAAATGGAAGCAGGACTGTCCTCCTGCCCGCCCTCTGTCGGGAGACTGAAGCGGGACCATCTCTGGAGAAGAACCTTCTGGAAGGAGGGAGCCAGCTCTGCAGGGAGAGGAGCTCAAAGGGAAGGCCTCACGGGAGCCGCCATGTCCCAGTGAGGGAGACACCAAGGAACAGGAAGGCGGCCGGGCCAGAGGAAGCCAGGCTGGCAGGCACCTGGGGTGTAGTCACCCCACCTGGAAATCGGGGAGGGCCTGTCAGAAGAGGTGGTTTTAGACAGAGACCAGAATGACCAGTAAAGGTGGGTCTGAGGGTGGCTCGCTCTGGGCAGGGCTCACCTGATGCAGCGGCAGGAAGGGCGGTCCAGAGTTCAGGCCACGGGGGCCGCGCAGGTGGCCATATTGTCTGGACCGGGACACCTGGGAGGGCGGAGGGGTCCTGAAGCAGATCAGGACCTACTAGGAGACCATGAACTTAGCCTCAGACTCGGCGTGTGCAGTGTCCCGGTCACAAGGTCAGGGTGTTTGTTACACTAAAGCAGTGAAGGTTGCAGTCTTTCCAAACCCAGTGAGGTGGGGGGGTCTAGAAATACCAAGTGTCCTGCCCGTTTGTGATGAGGAGGGGACATAGCAGGGGGCCAGGCAGGGAAGGGCACGGAATGAGGGCAGGAGGCTGGAGCAGAGGCAGCCCACGGCGCGGGGCTGGGTCCACGGGGAGTGGTGGCATCAGCTCTGTCCACGGAAGGTGTGGGAGTCGACGGCAGGACTTAACCGCCAAATGCCCAAATCCTAATTGTGTCCACACCTCCTGTGGGAGACAGTCATTCGCTGCTACAGGCCTGGAACCCAGTCCCCGCCACGGTGCCTGAGGGGCCGCAGGGAAGCTTCAGACTTCTCCTCGACAGGCGAGACTTGGACATAAATCTCACTGGAAATAGAGCCACATGGGACTTTGGAGACAAAAACATGGTAGGAACAAAATAACGAGCCAGAGAAAAAGTGCCTTCTTCATATAGCTAATAGCTTGAAAGAACAAAGACTAAGAATGTTCCGGAAACTGGCCTAACATGGGGAAAGGCCACAGGCAACCCGCGTGGAACATAAGGGGGGTGCATTCAGTCATTCAAAGCAAGGCCTGACTGTGCACCAACCAGCCAGGAAGTGGGCCGTGTAGCCGTGGCACATGTGAGGCGGGCCCTGCTCCCCTGTGGGTCCTCGTGCAGACGGCCGAGTCCTCAGCACCCCATATCTGAGGGAACCGCAGACTATTTCCTGGAAATAAGACCGTAGACAAAAAAGTCCTTTCCGCGTGGCCCACAAGCAACGAGGCAGCGTCCCAGTGGGACTGTTGATCCATTTAACTTAAAATTCCGTCGACCTCTGAGCAAATTCGTTAAGCAGTACTTGAGAGCCACGAACGTTCATGGCATCAGAAAGGATTACAGCAGCTTCCACCCGTAAATGGGTGTGGAGCAGGATCCCAAAGCCCCTGTCAGGAGACGGAGGACTGTTGGTGGTGTGGCCGGTGCCCGTGGGGCCTGCCCAGCACGGTGGCCTGAGCGCAGGACCCCACTTGCCGGCCCGAGGCCGTGCTGCTGCGTATTGGAGCCGTGCCTTTTCTCTGCGGTTTAAGCCAATCACACGAACTCCGCTCCTAACACACACCTTGGTCGCCTGCCTACGCTTCTCCAGCTGAGACTCTAGGTGCACCTCCATTCTGCTCAGGAGGTTGTTGGCGGGAGACTGTGTCCCGACGCCCGGCCGGCTCCATACCGACCCTTCAGGGGAGCGCCCGTCCTGTGAGCACCTGCTCTCTGCCGGGCCTGTGCTGGTCACGGGCCACGAGTGGGCCATCCTCGTGGGGCTGAGGTCTGGCCTGAGCGTGAAGCCGGTCTTGACCCGGGAGGGGAGACGGTCGCGCCCACCAGCGGGGCAACGGCGCGCCTGTAGGCAGTGTGCGCCCTCTGTTTCCAGGGCGGGACCGAGCCACCGGGATGGCAGGCCGGGCGGGGTCCTCCTGTGCCAGCACCCCCACCTCTGGGAAAGGCTGGCTCGGCCCCGTGTGGGACGCGGAGGTCTCGTCAGTGTCCACCCCCACCCCCAGCTCCAAGGTTTCTTCGAGGACTTCGGGCAGCACTGAACACAGTTTCTCTCTGAATTAAACTTGAGGATGGCGAGGCCACGTGTGCTCCGTGGCCGGCGGGTCTTGTCAGGGCAGAGCAGTGGGAAAATGAGGAGACATCCTGGGATTCCTCAAGGAAAAGATGCAGAGCCCAGAGAACAGGGCGGGACCGTCACGGCCACGAACCCACCACGCAGCCACGGCACGGCCGTGACAGACTGGGAGGGAGCGGGAAGCGTGGGGGAACAGGCGCTCTCGTCATCACGGCGGGCGGGCAGAGCGTGAACCTCACAGCCACTGTGTTCGCCCGACCGCATGCCTCCCGCGGACCAAGTGAAGGAGTGATTATGGGATGTTCTCCCGCCATCCCTGGTTTCCTTGGCAACCAGATTCAGCGCGAGGGAGCGGAGGCGCCGAAGCCGCCAAGAACTGGGACAGAAGCCCCACGTTTGAGTTGGAAACCGCGTGGGAACTTCAGGGCGTTTTACCACGTGAACGGGGTCCACCGGGAAGGCCTGCCACGGAGACCAGCCCGGAGCAGGGAGCCGCCCGGGGCCCGGGCCGTGACTGGAATACCATTTCCCATCGCAAGAAATCAGGGCGACTGGAGGACAGTAGTGGGCAAGAGGTGAGCACGCAGGCCCGGGACACTCGGCCTGGTGGACAGGAGACAACCGGGGTCACGGGGCGTCCGAAGGGCTCGGGGCTGCCTCTCACTGGCCGCACAAGGGGTGCTTGGGGCGCCAGTAAGGGTGAGGCCAGCAGTGGTTGAAATCGTCAACTGTATTTAAATCCCTTCTGAGGCTGACGTGGTCCCTTGAAAACTGGGCCCCTTGAAGCAATGGGTCCAGTGGGCGTCCCGCAGCGTCGAGGGGACCAGCCACTCCAGATGCAGAAACCGCTCAGCCCCGGGACTCTGAAAAGGCAAAGCCGCAGCCCTGCCTCTGAGCCGCCCACAGTGCGTGGCCACGTGAGGCAGACTTTAATGAGGTCCTGGGAGGCTGCGGCCCGTCGGGGGACAGCTGTGGATCTCGGGGAAACATCTCTACGTGCTTCATTGGTGGAATAACCTTCTCAACAACGCACTATAAAGCTGTCGTGCGTTCCTGAAACAGGCCTGAGTCAGGAAGGGCCCCCGGGGCTCAGGGTGCCGGCCACTTTGCTCACTGTGTCCAGTGCTGTGACCCGCTCGTGGCTGCTGCGAGGCTGCCGTGAGGCTGTCGCCAGCTTTCTGTCAGCCACCTCTCCCCCACCTGTGTGCTTGGGGCCACGCGCCTCCCCGCCATCCCGCATCTCCAGTAGGGGAGACTCAGATGCCAAATGGGGAGGAATTCGCAGGCTGCGCGTGGAGGGAGCTTCAGAGGAAGCCCGCTGCGGGAGACAGACGGGGGGCGGACGGCAGAGATGGGAGCCCAGAACCGCAGGCGAGCGAGGACGCAGACAGTCCCGGGGCGCAGAAGCGTCTCCTGGGAGCGCCCCGTTCTGCTTGTTCCTCTGTCTTCAG